ACATCCATTTGTTGACTGGTGCCCAACTGGTTTCAAGTGGGTATCAACTACCAACCACCAACTGTTGTACCAGGAGGTGATTTAGCCAAGGTCCAGAGAGCTGTTTGTATGTTGAGTAACACCACTGCTATTGCTGAAGCTTGGGCTCGTCTTGATCATAAATTTGATCTGATGTATGCTAAGAGAGCTTTCGTTCACTGGTATGTTGGTGAAGGTATGGAAGAAGGTGAATTCTCTGAAGCTAGAGAAGATTTAGCTGCTCTAGAGAAAGATTATGAAGAAGTTGGAGTTGATTCTGTTGAAGGTGAAGGAGAAGAAGGAGAGGGAGAAGAATATTAAAATCTAGGGAAACATTAATTTACAATCATGAATAAAGAATCGAAAATAAAATATATCATTGTTGATTTATTATTTAGAATAGGCTCCGAAAACTTTGTCCCTGTGTGATTCATAAGTTGCGGGGTCAGATAAAATAGCACGGTCGGAATGTCAATGGTTTTTAGGGATAAAACAAGTCTACAGGATCGTTAGAGCTCACTGACTGCACAGGATTGCGGTTTCTAAATCACAGGTAAAAGCAACAAATGTCATTTTTGTTGTACAAATTGAAAACTTGAAAACCTTCAAAAAGCTAGTTGAACACGATAATTTAGATCAAGGTTGTCTCACTGCGATCTTGTTACAATCTACTAGCTAGTTGGTCATCATAGTTTAGATCAATGGTGTCTCACTGCGATCTTGTTACAATCTACTGGCTAGTTGAACACGATAATTTAGATCAATGGTGTCTCACTGCTATCGTGTTACAATCTACTAGCTAGTTGAACACGATAGTTTAGATTAATGGTATCTCACTGCTATCGTGTTACAATCTTCTAGCTAGTTGAACACGATAGTTTAGATCAAGGGTGTCTCACTGCGATCTTTTTACAATCTACTGGCTAGTTGAACACGATAGTTTAGATCAATGGTGTCTCACTGCGATCTTGTTACAATCTACTGGCTAGTTGAACACGATAGTTTAGATCAAGGGTGTCTCACTGCTATCGTGTTACAATCTTCTGGCTAGTTGGACACGATAATTTAGATCAATGGTGTCTCACTGCGATCTTGTTACAATCTACTGGCTAGTTGTACACGGTAGTTTAGATCAATGGTGTCTCACTGCTATCGTGTTACAATCTTCTGGCTAGTTGGACACGATAATTTAGATCAATGGTGTCTCACTGCGATCTTGTTACAATCTACTGGCTAGTTGTACACGGTAGTTTAGATCAATGGTGTCTCACTGCGATCATGTTACAATCTACTAGCTAGTTGGTCATCATAGTTTAGATCAATGGTGTCTCACTGCGATCTTGTTACAATCTACTAGCTAGTTGGTCATCATAGTTTAGATCAATGGTGTCTCACTGCGATCTTGTTACAATCTACTGGCTAGTTGAACACGATAGTTTAGATCAATGGTGTCTCACTGCGATCTTGTTACAATCTACTGGCTAGTTGAACACGATAGTTTAGATCAATGGTGTCTCACTGCGATCTTGACACGGTAGTTGGACACGGTAGTTTAGATCAATGGTGTCTCACTGCGATCTTGTTACAATCTACTGGCTAGTTGAACACGATAATTTAGATCAAGGTTGTCTCACTGCGATCTTGACACGGTAGTTGGACACGGTAGTTTAGATCAAGGTTGTCTCACTGCGATCTTGTTACAATCTACTGGCTAGTTGGACACGGTAGTTTAGATCAAGGTTGTCTCACTGCGATCATGTTACAATCTACTGGCTAGTTGGACACGGTAGTTTAGATCAATGGTGTCTCACTGCGATCTTGTTACAATCTACTGGCTAGTTGGACACGGTAGTTTAGATCAATGGTGTCTCACTGCGATCTTGTTACAATCTACTGGCTAGTTGGACACGGTAGTTTAGATCAATGGTGTCTCACTGCGATCTTGTTACAATCTACTGGCTAGTTGGACACGGTAGTTTAGATCAATGGTGTCTCACTGCGATCTTGTTACAATCTACTGGCTAGTTGAACACGATAATTTAGATCAAGGTTGTCTCACTGCGATCTTGACACGGTAGTTGGACACGGGGGATCTTAGATCAATGGTGATCCTCTAGAGTG